CTCAGAATCCTGCAGAGGGCAGGAGGAAGCAAGAAGATTGTGTCGCAGCAGCCTGGCGAGTCCCAATCACAGGCTCTCCCTTTCAGATCCACTGCCCATGGTGTTGGTGATCATGGGGCACACTCACCCTTGTTCCCCCAGACGTCACGCACACCCGCTGCTTCTCAGCAACACTTCAAACTCCAGCCGACGGATTTGCTGTTCTACACACACACTAGCAATGAATTTGACTTTGATCTTAACCACAAGAGGTGGTACAATTTGGTCCTATTACCTATCAGCCCCCAAATTATATAAATAAATGAAACCCCTATATTATTAAGGGGTGGCAGGGCACTAAGTTCTCTGACTATAGCTTTAAATATAACAGTTATCACATGAGGCAGTAATGTCTGTGTTTATATGTCTGTCTCCCTCACTAGACTCTGAGTATTTTAAGAGTCAAGATCCTCTTGTTGGGACAGCAATGCAATGTTGGACACGTTACTCAGTTAATATTTGATGACTAAGTGAACAAATAAATGTACATATGTCCACGGACAATGTGGCTAGAAGCCCAGATTCAGAGGTCAGACTACCTTGATTCCAATCCCAGCTCCATCCTTAGAGCTGTGTGACCTTGGACAAATTACCGGATCTCTCTCCTGAGTTTTCAGATTATAACATGTTGCAATAATAATATATACTTCATAGAATGCATACCACAGTGCCTGACACAAAGTAAATACTCAAGAAGTATTATTATTGAAACTCAAAATGGGTGGCCACTATAGCTACCAAAAAACTGCAAGCATTTAGCAGGTTTGATCCCCACCTCTGGTCAAGAAAAACCCATTTTGTAAGCCTTCATTTCAAACGCTGAGACATAATTTAACGTCCTTGCAGCATGTGAAAGCGTGCCAGGCACAGGTGGTGGCGAGCAGCTGTGTTCCATCTCCGCTGAGGACCAGCTGAGAGTCTTAAAGAGCCACATGAGTGATTTGGGTATAAAGTACTAGGAATAGTTTCCTAGTGTTCAAGGGTGTGAAACTCTAGGCCGAAGCTTCAAGGGAAGCCATGGAATCCCCCTCTCTCGAGATTCTTTTAAAATTGGATACTTAATCGGCTCTTTCTAAGATGGTGAAAGCAGCTCACGCTGAAATATCAAGCAGCCCGCACGGGTCGGTCAAGCCTGAGTTACACTGCTGTTGACCTAGTTTCGGCGAAGTACAGCTATTACCTGGAGATAGATACAAAAAGGAAGAAAGCATGGAAAGCAGGTTCCCCTACTCAGTGAGACTGTAATGAAACATTTAATATGCTGATAGCCCTCATCCAAAATAACGTTCAGTCTCATTAAGGGACCATTTCTGAAGGACCTGAATGAATGGTGCCCAGTGTAATTACTTCATGGGAGCAGGCGGCCTGGGGGCCCCGTGTAGAGGCAGACTTGGGCGGGCACCTGACACCCCACTGCGTGCGAATCACGGTATAGGACTGCCAGCCCAAGGTGGCAAACAGAAGATGGGAAAAGGCGCGTCCCTTCCACCCTCTGTGGCTAGTGTCCCAGGAAGTCCCGTGAGTGAGACCCAAGTTACCCACCTATTCCCTTCCCGAGCGGAGGGTGTTTGGCGTATTTCCTCCTGGGAGGAAAGGACTCTGATTTAGTGAAGAGGCGGGTGCAGTCCCTCGCTCTTCCTCTCGGCTGCTCAGAGGGAGAGACCGAAGAGAAAGGAGATTTCTAGGGGAGGAAAACAAGCTGGCAAAGGCTCTGGCCCTGAGCACCCTGAGGCTCGGGCGAGGGCCCAGGGGAACCTGCACAGCAGAGGTGGCAGGAATCTCGGCTTGTTGGCCATTTGGTAGCCACAGGAAAGGCTCAGACAGAAGGCCGGAGTGGTTATGTATGATAAAGACACTTAAACGGAACTTAATGGTTTGTTCTCTTCCAAGTTACTGAACATTAAGTTTAAATGTTTTCGTATAAATACTAAATTATGTGTATATAGCAGGATCGCAAATGCGCACGTAACCACTCCGGTTTTTTTTTAAGGAAAATGTCGCCTCTTTATTTCCTAAAGCTATTCTTCCTCCAGGAAGGCGCCCCATGAGGAGCAGGGGGAATAGAAACAAACCTGCAATTAATAATACCTGCCTCTTCCCCCTTTAAACAGTGTCTTTCGGGAATTCCCTTTTCCTAAAGAGAAGATTGTTTATGCTCTTTCCCCAAAACGGTTCACGGCGATAAGCTGAGACAATGGGCCCTATTGCTTTCGGGTGGCTGGCCCGCCCCGCCCTGGCCTGGTGTCTGCTGGGGCACAGCCGGTCCCTGTGGCCTTTGGGGATACTGTGCGATCATTCCCTGCAGGAGTCCGCAGACCCTGGGCTGCAGGGAGCTGAGGCCCTGCCTCAGACACGGTCATCCCCACGGCCAAGCTGCTATGGCTCCCAAGCCACCTGGGACGAGATGCCACACCAAAGCCAGCCTCTCCTCACGGCTCGCAGCCTCTCTCAAGCCCTGGGCGAGGAACAGCACCGTGAGCCCCGCGTTCTCGGGCGCACTGTTCCTAGCAGCGTATTTCCATCACGACCTGCTCTACTGCCCAAGCTTCCATCTTGCAAAGGGAGAAAATATTTCTCTCTTACAGCTGCACTTGCTTTGTTTTAGCACAACTGGGTTTAACCAGCTGAAGCTGTAAAACGACCACGACCTTTAGCAACCTCACCAGCATCACCACCGCTAAGAAAAGCTAATAAACAACCAAGACCTCTGAGTGACCCTGGCTCGTCACACCCTGACTGGACCCAACAGAGGGCTCTCTCCTGACCCATGAACCACAGGATTTATTTCAACCCACCACAAGCAGATGAGCGGGCGCTTTCTGACTTGGGCAGGAGGACAAGCCTTAGATCATGAATTAGCATAAATACCCTGATCTCCTCCCTTTCTAGTATCTAAACCCCTGACTTTCCCCTTCAGCAAATTTGTTCCCTTAGCCTGGGACAGAACTGAGTTCAGTGCTTGCTTTATTAACACTGCAGTCAGTGGCTTTCCATGTATAATCCCGGCAGGAGAAGGAAGTGAGGACCCAGGCATCTGCGACTTCACCTTCTTCTTCGGTCTTCACTCCCCCTCTAACGTGCTGTGGGGCAGGCCTTCCCCCCACGCCTTTGTTCCCAGGGGCTCTAAGCCACATGACCCAGCGTTGGTGGCAGATGGGCTGCAGGAAGAGAAAGTAGCTTAGTAATAGGACACATGTTGAGTAGTTTTAAATTATTATTCCCATTATATACCTATATCAAAAATGAAAAATCCACAGCGTAATATGTCTCAGCAACAAGACAGTCAAGATCTTACTTACAGATTATATACTGATCATTTTTAAAAACAAAAAACACATAGTGCTTAGCATGTACCAGGTACTTTTCTACCAGCTGGAGTCATTGAATTCTTGCAATGTCCCTATGCAGTAGGTACTATTGTAATTATCATCTTCATGTTATAGGGGAGAAGCACAGGACAGTTACGTGAACTTGGCCAAGGCTGGAAGGTGAACTGTGCACAGGATTCAAGTCTGAGCAGCGTGGCTCGGATGGAACTCACCCACGACTGCCCTAGTACCGCCACTGGGTGTCAGCGTAGCACCCGAGGAAGGAGCCATCTTTTAAGGAAAGGGGAAGGGCATTCACCGAGGGCCTTCTAGATGCAAAACACTTATGCATGCATTTCCTAATGTAATCTGAGAGATGAATAGACTTTTTAGAAAACAGAATACACACCATGTAAATGATGAAGTGATTACTTGCATCAGAGAAGCTTTTGTTCATAATTCCTTAACTGAAAAAAATAATAACACTGGAGCAGACTTGGAAGTTAAGAGGATCAGTCCCTAGGTTCTTCGCTAACAAAGGGCTCCTTCCAGCTCTTCGCACCCATCACACAATGAAACTGTTATTAGAAGAGACTTCAGGGAGGAGACCACTCAATGTGCCACAGACGAGCGTTTGCTATAAAATTATCTGGTTTAATCACTACCAGCATTAGAACTGCAGTACATTAGAGTACAAAACCTGTATGTACAATTACACATACCAAAAAAAAATGTTCTTTGTGAGGAGCAATTTTCAGCAAATCTCACAAACACCGAGAGTCACCTCTATTGGGGGGCTGAAAGAAAAAAATGGAAATTTCCAAGCTGTCTCCCTCCTCTCTCTGGCTCCAGTGACCCTCCAAACATCGATTTGCAAAGGCCTGAAACAGGGAGGGAGGGAAGAATTTCGCCAGGGAAGGGCGAAATTCTAGAAAATGTTTTCCATCGTTTATTAGACTGATGCTCCATCCATCTGCATCCTGAGGCTCCATAGTTACCATGACAATATGATGCCTACAGCAATCTAACTTGATAGCCAGATGTCAGAATGTGAAAAAATAGGACCGGCTAAGAAAGTGAGAGAAATATAATTAATCCGAACTACATAAAAATATGCACAAAACGAGGACCAACAGGGAAACTGCTGAAAGGCCACTGAAAGGGGAATTATGACAAGAGTAATGAAGTTTTAGTATAAAAACTTTTACTCAGTAGAGCCACGAATTGGTCCATAACTGAGGAAGGAGTCAGATGGGTCCAGGGTATTGCTCTGAGTGCCCCCGCATACTCTCCTGCTGCAGAGCCCAGCGGTGCCCGGTCCTCGCTGATTCCGTGGTGCATCCATAGTCCCTGCCTCGCCCGAGCACCTGAGGCCGTCATCCTCAGTGCTGCCGCCATGGCATCCTGCTCGCCTCCAGTCTGCTGTTATGCCCAGGTTTTCCACCTGATGAAGCGATGTCCATCGCGTGAAGCTCATCTCAAGAGACTGGACTGAGCCGCGTCCCGGGGGAGCCTGTCCCCGTGCCCAGGGGAGGCAATAGGCCAACACAGCCCTCCTGGGGGCCCCAACGCAGCCGAGGGGCGGGGGATGAAGGAAGAAGGGCAGCGTGAGCCCTGTGCCCCAGGAGACCGCCTGGGATGGGCGGGCGGGCGTCACGGCTGGGTGGGATAGCGGCGCTGCGCGAGGCGGCTGGGCCGGCTCAGGCTAGTGGCCGTGGAGAGCTGGAAGAGAGGCGACACGGCCCTGGGTTAGCGCCCCAAGCACGACTCCTCCCAGGGCGGACTGGCTGCACCGAGCCAGGGCATCCTGAGAGTCTAGAACCGAGAGTCTACTCCGCTGCACTTGGCTTCCTAGTGTGATGTTCTGATTATTCACTTCCACCCAGTACCTCCAGCTTTTAATCAGAGCAAAAGAAATTCTACTTTATAAAGTGGGGAGGCCAAGTGATGCATGAGAGCCACCAGTGTGCCCCAGGTCACCGAGGAACAGGGAGTTCAGCTTCTCTCAAGATCTGCAATAATCCCCTCCCCCCAGGACAGCATGACGGTGCAGGGACACCACTGATACCAACGCCGATTGTATCCCTCGAATCTCAAGACTTATAGAAAGTCAAGAGCAATACTGACACCTGCAACATTGATTGACCTCTTCTGTGTGCCAGGCCCTTCATGTACATATATGTCCCTATTGAATCCTTACAACCGCTCAGTGAGATAGGTACCACTAAGCCCATTTTACAGATTCAAAAACTGAGGCTTAGAAAGGTTAAGTCATCCCTCAAGAACTCATGCGTGATACATGGTAAACTAGGATTATAAACCCCGATCTCCTTAATCCAAACCAGTCCTAAGCCCTGTCCCTCAGAGCTCCCTTACCTGGGGGACCTGAGACGGGTTGTAGAGAGGAACAGCCCCTTTCAAGGTGGGTGGGGGAAGCAGGGCACCATGGTTGAAGTAGGGCTCCGAGGAAACACCCTGAGGCAGAAAATAAAATATCCTGTCACCACCTCCCAGATTCCAGAACACCAAGGGCTCCCTGAGGGTCAACTTTAGTCAAGAGACGCAGATGGGAAGGGTTTCTTAAGAGAACTCCAGGAATCTCGAGCAAACCAAGATGGCTCAAGTGGGCACAGCCAACCCTGACGTAAGGGCAGCAATGCAGAGGCTCAGGCGTGGCTGTCCCTGGAGCACATGAGAAGAGAAACCCACTATAAGTTATAGTGACAGCGTCATAAAAAGTAATATCCTACTCCTTGAAAGGCCTAAAGTACTATAAGAATGCTCCAGTCAGGCTACAGAAATAAAAATGCTCTCCTGGCAATCAGCATGAAACCACATCAGTGTGGAATATTCATGAAGAGTTTACCACAGCCCTTGCCAAGCGCGCTGCTGAGCTCTGGCTCCTACTGGGACACGGGAAGTTCTGTAGATTTCACGATTTAGGGGCTAAATCGTGTCCCCCCACAAAACTTCCTATGTTGAAACCCAAATCCCAGTACTTCTGAATGTATCTGGATATAGGGTCTTTAAGGAGGTGATTAAGGCAAAACGAGGTCATTAGGGGGGGCCCTAACCCAGCATGACTGGTGTCCTTGTGAGAAGAGGATATTGGGACACAGACACTCACAGAGGGAAGACCATGTGAAGACTCGGGGAGAAGGTAGCCATCTACAAGCCAAGGAGAGAGGCCTCAGGAGAAACCAACCCGGCCCACACCTCAACCTCTGATTTCCAGCCTCCAGACAGTAAGGAAATAAATTTCCGTTGCTTTGTTTAAGCTGAGCGGCCTGTGACCCCTTGTTGTGGCAACCCCAGCAAACTCACAGAGAAGCTTCCCCCACATTCCCCACGAGTCGGGCCCCCACGCTGGAGGGTCAGTCCTCACACACACAGGCATGTGGTGTGACCCTGGGCTCCAGCCCACGGGCTGCTCACCTGGAGCCCAGACAAGCCTCCGTTCCCAGGGACCTCAGCGGTTCCTCCACTGGTCGCTGGTCCTGGGACTTCACCTCCACCTAGAAAGCAATGAGTCAGAGCTGCTTCCACTGCTCAGGACTGAGGAGGCCCCACTCCCAGAAGGTACCCTGGGGAGCACAGAGACCACCGATGGCCCAGAGGACATGAGGTTGGCTGTACCTGTGCCCATGGACAAGGTGCTGGCAGCTGGCAGAGGCTGGGGCTCTGGGAGAGGTGTCAGTGAGGGGCCTGAGCCAGTCTCGAGGGAAGCAGATGCTCTGGAGGCCTCCTGCTTCGTGGAGAAAGAAAGGCAGAGGTGGTGGTTACCAGGTCCACGTGGGCCTGCAGAGCCCACCACGGGGCCTGTATTCCTGCAGAGCCCACCACGGGGCCTCCACCCAGGGTGCTCTCCCCCAAATTCCAGCTCCTTTGTGCCACTCCCCTGCTCAACAAACCCAAGTTATCTCTGGCCCCCAAAGTGAATATCCTTCATTCTAACTTTTAAGGTCTTCCATCATCCACTTTCCCCTCACAGGGCCAATTTATTTCCCACAGCTCTGTTGCTTCACAAAACCTCCATTTCATCCGGCCTGGGGGAGAGTCCAGCCTGGGGGAGAGCCCTAGACCAGCTCCGGGCCCTCGCCCTCAAAAGGGCCCCCAGGAGAGGGAGCTTCCTTGTCTTCCCCTCCAGTTACCTCTGAGTCCGGGCTGTCAGAGGAGTCTTCGTCTCCAGAGGGGGACGCACTGTGGGTGGGCTTCGAGCGAAACCAGCTGAACCAGCCAAAGCCTGAGCTCTGGCGGGGAAGAGGGAGTTTGATGGATTCTCTGGATGCATCGGAGATTAGCCGCCCCAATGTGATGGTGGTGAGATGGGGGGGGCACACCAAAGCCCAGATCACCCAGTCTGCTGGGAAGAGAAGGCCCAGGCCCCCCCACCCCGCGGGTCCCCTCCCATCTCCTACCTTTCCTCGCCGGGCAGCGTTCGGGGGAGACGTTTTATCTGTCTCGTCCGAGGACTCCTCCTCCTCCGTGGCTGACACGGTGGAGTTCTCGGAGATGTTTCGTGCTCTGGGAGTCAGTGGCACCTGGAGTTAAAGGAAACAAGAGCCGATACTTGCATCGCCCTCCACAGGTCACAAGGGCACCTGCAGGGGGCTGCGTCACCTGACCTGCTCACCGCATCGTGGGTGGTCTGACGGGACCCCCCCCCTGGCTGATGGGGAAGCAGGCAGGGCTTGGCCACGTGCAGGGATTTGCAGGAGGTCTCGGGGCAAGGCCAGAGCACAATGGCAGTCCTTATGCTTATATCCTCGAAAAAGGTATTGAAAGAAAATAACTAAAATGTTTGACTTGGGGGTGATGAGTGATATTTCATTCTTTATTTCTCAAGTTTCCTGTCATTAATAATGTACTACTTTTTCAGTTGGAAAAAGAAAAAATAAAGTGTAGAAGTTTTTAAGGCCCGTCGCCGGTCACTACTTGAGAAAGTTATGTGCTGTCACCCTCCAGCCAGGCAAAGCTGGGGAGCATCTTAGATTTGGGACCAGTGCCGCCCACTGTGGGGGGAAGGGAGCCTTCATTCAACGCCAGGGACCTCACAGCCTCACGAGGAGAAAAGGCAGCTGCTGCAGACCCTTCTTGGAAGTAAAGGAAGGTAGAAATGAAAATAAAGGAACAGCCCGAGTCTCCCAGGACGGGGCCTGGCGTGGAGAGTGTTTGGTGCGAGAGGGAGAAGAACGTGTGAGAGGAGCAGGCCTGTGAGGCCAAACTACACAGGCCCTGCTGCCCCGCCCCCGGGGACACAGGCTGGTGGGACTGGGCGTCGGGACACAGCCTCCCTATCTCAGGACCTGGCGCAGGACGACACAAGAAGAAACCGGGTGCCCCAGGGAAGGGTGAGCTGGTGCTTGGGGCTTTGCACGTGGCTAAGAAGCCAGATGGCTGGGAAAACCTGACGCACGGAGGGGCTTCCTCCTCTCACCTGTGGTTTGGAAGCCACCGTTTGACCATCAGGACGCTGGAAGGTTTCTTGAGATGCTGTGTTCTCTCCTGCGGCACAGAAAGAAACGAAAATTGTGGCTCATGGCTGTGCCTTTTCTGTCCGTCCTGAGGAAGGTAATGGGGACAGTCGGCTTCCCCAACCACCAAGCTGCTGGAGCTCCCAGCCCCCAACCCCAAGCGAATCACAGTGAAGATGCAGTCCGCCTGCCGCCCTCTCAATTCCAGCTGCCCCAGGACACGCTGTCGACCCCCCCTCCCCCCC